CAGCTTCAGGGTCAAGACACCCGTGGCTGCGCAGTAAAGCATCAGCTGGGCTCAGCAGCTTTGCCCAATGTCCTTTTGCCAGCGTGTGCCGCAGCAGCTCTTTTGTCAGAGCCGGGCCAACCTGGGCAGCAACTCCGGCACCTAGACAGTCGGACGCGTCGGTGCACACAAGCACAGCAGCAGGTTTTGCTCGCAAGTTCGTATACAGGAGAGGCGCAATCGTTGCCAGAACGAACAGCTCTGCTCGAAGAGAAGGAGTGCTGGCCACGATAGCTCGCCGATCCCTGTCCCTTTGGAGGTGGTACATCTCTTGAACCAGACAGAGGCATCTCTTCCTGAACATCAACACCGAAATCCAAGAACCTGCCAGGACCTCAAGTAGAGCAACAGAGAGGCGAGGGAGCCGCGCTGCCTGAACGGTCAAATGCGCGAGCGGTATGAGCCGCGCCCAGTTGGGGCGGACCCAGCCCGCATCCCCGTCGATCTGTGCACCCCAGATTTCTGCCTTTGTTCGAGCACAGAAGCCCTTGGCCGGATGCCAAGGCAGATGTGCTTCCTGGTAAGTAATCTGGATGCGGTCGATCAGCTGCTTGCTCACTGCTGCGGCTTCGTCGAGCGGAATGTGGCGAGGGACTTTGTCTATCACCACCAGATCATCGATTACGATGCCCGTGACTGGGAAAGATCTGCTCGGTCGTCCGTGCAACGTCAACAGTTGCTGTAGCGATACGGTGCCCGCTGCAAGGAAGAGTCCAACATGCGCTGCCTGTCCGAAGGTGACTGCGTTGCCATCGCCCATGGCGAGGGTCCGGAGCGCAACCACCAGTGACGAAGAACGCCAGAACTCAGGCTTGAAGCTGGGCAGATGTTGCAGTTCTCTAGGAGTGTACTCGCCTGCCAAAATGTAAAGCTTCGTACGATCCTCGGACACCTGAAAATTGTAATAATAATCCTTCACGTCCTCGGCGGAGAATAAAAAGCGTTCGCTGTCTTCGAGGGCCAGATCGAGCAGTGCTGAGGCGGCGCCCAGCGTTCTGAGCCACTTCACATCAATTGGCATCTGGAGATTGACAGGTCTCGCGTCAAGGATAAGTCTATCCTGCTCCAAAGATTTGGGCAGCGAGAACATTCCACAGGATGCCGCTAAGTCGACATCTGAAGCTGGAAAGATGGCCAAGCGACCCCCTCGGTCCAAGCAAGCGAGAAGCTCGAAACGAGCTGCTTTATCCACTGTTCTAACTCGAACCCGGGGCGGATCGCCAAAGCTGCTCCTGAAATGTGAAGGGTGCTCGTACAGGTGCCTGAGCTGCCGATCCAGAAAAGGGCGAGGATCGAACCCAGGTGCTGGGGGGAAGCTCAGCCTATCGACCTCCACGGCCTTGGCAGCCGCCAGAGTCGGAGCTCGGGCGTGCTGGTCCGGCTCCAGCGCAGCCTCCTGCGACAGCGCGGACACCTGCGCTTCCACTCTTTCCATCTTGCTCGCAGCTCGGCCCATGTCGGCAGCAGTAACTTCCTCTGCTGCATTCCAAACCTCAACCTTCCTAACTAAGTTAAGCCAGCCTCGCTCCAGAGCGCTTCGGCAAGAGTCGGAGGATGAATTTGCAAAAGGAGTTGCGAAGGCGCCTGCAAATGAGCGCCTGACCCGGAGGCCAAGAAGACTATCGAGGCTCAAACAAATGAGCTCGAGCGCTTGATGCAGCTCAGACTCCGCGCTGTCTGGCGAAAGCCTAAACTCCTCAAGTAACTTGATAAAACATGGAGATACACTCTTTCGGCTGGCATCCCAAAGAGCACGGCGGTGCAAAAGGGACCGAAGACAGGGATCCTCGGTCAAAAGGCAACTCAAATCCTTCCACAGGTCACCGGGCCGGACTGTAGAGGCCCCTGCCCCTGGAAGCTGTGCGCCGGGCGGCGCCATCCAAGCTGGCGCGGGTCGAGCCGGCTACTGCAAACCAAAAACGATCACTTTGCCCCTGACCCCGAAGGGCCCGATGGCTTGTCAGCGCCCTTTCCGGCGCCTTTCTCACGATCCTTTCCACCTCTAGGAATCCGAGTCTCTTCATCTGCGCCGGCGCCTTCGCCACCGCCTGGAGACTTCTGCTTGCTCAGCTTCCGCTTCGCATCGAGGTAACTCTCCACTTCCTTGACTCGGTGAAGAAGGACATCAGCCCACCTGGAATCGATGAGCTTTGTATGGAAATTTTCGCTTGCATCGTGCACGGCGTTCCGCTTTGTCTGGAAAGCAGACAGTGGCGCAGGTTGCTCAAGAAAAAGTTCCTGGGCTAAAACCCAGGACCCTGAGTCCAAGGCATTCTGATCTATGCTCGCTATCGATAGAGCAGCACGTGCCCTGGCCTCGGACACTTTGTTCTCTCTCAGACAGTCCCACACACCAGCTAGCGCCCAGGCAAGGCGAATGGTAGTGGGGTAAAACCCCAACCGCGAACGATGCTCGAGCCAGCTGCGGGCGCTGGCTGAAGCCGAAGCAAATGGACCACCGGCTCGGCGATTGAGCATGTCTTCCTCGAGCTGCTGTTCGATGCTTTCATAAATCTGTTCCGGACGATGCTTCAGACTGTCACGCAGGAACCTCCAAGCTGCAGCTTTCGATCTAGACGCCGAGCCGAGACCAGCACTAGCATCAGCGGACCCGGACGCGTCCCAACCGTCAAGGAGATTGTCAAGCGTCTTCTCCTTTGCAGCCTTCCTCTTTTGCGATGCAAGCTCTTTTACGATCGAAGTAAGAGTTACAAGTGCTGCTTCAACTGGGGGAGCCCCGGCCTCCGGTTCACGGTCCTCTGCCTCAGCTCCCCCTTCACTGGAGGCTGCGAGACTTCCAGCACCGCCCGCTGCCTCTGGGAAATCATTCAGACCGCCGGGGGCCCCTGCGAGCAGACCTTGAATCTCGTGGAGCTCGCCTGGAGAAATGCCTGATTGAAGGGCAGCGCGAGCGACAGCGGGGTTCAAGCCCGCCTCGGACACGCGGGGTCCCGGGTACTGCTCCCTCTTCGGCAGCTTTGGGTTTGCTTTGGCGAGCCTTGGTTTGGGCCTTGAGTCCTGCAGGCTTCTCGGGAACTGCTGCGGGCGCCGGAGGGCTTAAGTCACGGAGCCGGGCAAGGATTTCGGACATGCTGGTCTCAAGGGCCTTCAACCTGGCCTCGTTGTTGTTGTCCCCTGACGCTGCAGACATGAAAGCAAAATGCTCATTTGCGACTTGCACAAGTCCAGACGCAAGCGGGAGGGCAGGTTGCTTGGTAGAGCCGGAAGAAACGAAGATGGTGGTGGGCTCGGCTTCCCCGTCGAACACAATGCTGTTGCAAAGCTCTGAAGAGAGCAACCCGACCCAAACTTTAACTCGTCGGCTACTGGCCACTTCGCGAGACTCGGCGGTATCAGCAACCACCTCGACCAGCATTGGTCGAGTGAAGGGGCCTGCTGGCAACTCACGTTTCGCTGGAGTTCGGTTCCAAGCTTTATGCGGGAAGGCTGCAACTGTACGATCTTCGAAATTTGCAATCAAGATGACAGCGACCTTCCGGCGATTCTCGCCTTCACCTACTGACAAACACCCCACATCATAATCAAAGAAAGTCTCTCCCTCTTGCCAAACCAAATGCGTCTCTGCCGCAGCTTCGGCCTGGCTGACCTCTGAGGCGGATGCCTCAGACATCGCGGATTTGCGGAAGTGCTAGCCCAGCAGACTCACCGGCTAGCTTGGCTTCCCACTGCGCTGGAAAACCGCAGAAGATGCTCTCTCCCACAAGATGACCCCTTTTACAAAGCTCTTTCACCGGTTGAAACCGCTGATACAGCAATGGCGGATTGAATACCACACCCTCGAAATCCCGAATGACAACGTAGCACCGAGATTGCAAAGGATTGGCGTCTCGACCGCTTTCTCCGCGGTGGCCTCCCTGTAGGCAACGAGCGAAGAAACCCCCGATGCGGCGTGCGATTGCACGGCGCTCCTCCTCGGTGATGCTCGTGCTGCTACTGGCTGAAGCGGCTGTTGCCTGTGTCGGCCTGTTTGGCGAGCCTAAGGTGCGGGAACCTAAACCCGAAGAGGTCTGAGGAACACTAGGGGAAACCAACCCGAGATCACGATTTGCAACCCTACGAGGCGGGGAAGAAGGATTGGGGTTTAAAGGCACCTGAGCGGGATCAGGAATGGCGCGCGTTTCAGCTGTCACTAGCTCGAAATCACCTGCTGCCTCAACCAACTCTCTCACCCTGCGGAGCTCTTGCCCCTGCCTGTGAACTTCCAAGGACAAAGCTTGGACACTCAGCAAAACCTGCTGCAGCAAGCCCTCAGTATCACTCATCAAAGGACCCTATACAAGGGCCCCGGTCGCTGCACCAAACCTCTGAGCTGGCTGCGAATCCAAGCTACCCACCAGGCTCGCAACAGGCAAATGAGATCGATCACTGGCCCCAGTAGCAAGCCCAACAGCAAACCAACAAAGACTGAGCTAGGATCAAGCCTGTCGAACTCGAAAGTAGGCAGTGGCGGGCAAATGCACTCGGGAGGGCGAAGCTCCAAAGGAATAGGCTGAGCAGCAAGCTCCTCAAGCCCGCGCCAAAGGAAACTGGCGACAGACCCTCCCAGAAGACCAACCTGAAGAGGCCTAGCCATACACCGGCCTGAGCCGAAATATCTCACATCCGAACAGCAGATCATGTGCGGTCATACGCAGACAGACCCAATACAAATCCAGAGATTCAAAGCGAAAACGAGTGACAATGCAGGACCTGCTGTGCCAGCTTCATCATGCGGGTGCTCAAACAGTGCACTACGAAAGTCGCGCGTAATAAGAAGAATCAGCTAGTGGCTAAGAACCCAGGTCCAAGTTCAGAAGTACCTGTGGCATGTATTTGTAGGGCAATGTGCTTCCACTAGAGGATGCGACCTGGGAACGGTCCTGCAATATGTCTCACCTACTATCGATGGGACAGCTGAGCAACTTAGTTGAACGCACAGAGCCCCGAACCTTCAGCAGCTGTCACTGTTGCATCTGTGGAACTTGCCGTTGACGAGCTGGGGCTCGCCTCAAAAGTCTGAGGGCTACATAAAGCTGGAGTCACTCTCATCAAGCGAGCTCAAGGCTCAGGATCCGGCCTGAGAGATAAGGATGGGTAGTCGGCATGATCTGTGAAAACAACTCTAGTGTCGCCCTCGAGCACGTCTGCCACCAGGTCCTTCATCTGGAGGCCCTTCTGCTTGTTCCCCGCCACAACTCCAAAGTAGTAGCATGCCTGCGGCGGAAGGAAATGTCCCGACGATGGTCAATACTTAAGCTTACATACACACATACACACACACACACACACAAACACAAAGCATACACGGGAGAATGCACCGGTGTGCGGTCTGGAGCGCCTGCTTCCATGTGCCCTCGATTCCGCGCTTTTTGATCTTGTCGGGGAGTCTGGAAAGCAACAACTCTCTCCGGTCTTCTTTGAACTGCTCCTCCGTGATTGTGAAGAGAAGATCCGCGAAGTCGCTCTTTGTCCACTTCTCCTCAGCCTTGCCGAAAGTCACAAGGCCCTACCTAAGACGGCGGTCGATATCCTGAGGGCGTATAAGAGTACAAGAATGGCGTACGCATGCGCACTCCCTAAGTAATCAAAAGTTTGGGCAGGCGCGTGAAGCAAATTCGCAAGACTGGCCCCGAACGTCTAAAAACTCAAGCAATAGTATCGGCTGTCGGATCTGATGCTACGAGTACGTTGCTTGTCGGCAGTTTTCTTGCAGGATCGACTAGCCGATGCCCAACTTCTCCAGCTCCAAGTTATCATTTGAACATTTGCTACTACCACCAAGATCTGCACCAGAGAGTGCTTCGCTCAGGCTTGCAAGAGCTGCAACGTCAGACTTATCCCAGAAGGGAATGCGTGGTGTTGGCGAGGTGCGAATGGATTCTTGCGAACAGAGCTTGGAGCCGAAGGGCGCGGGCCCTGGCAGCCGCGTGCCTCGGTGCCAAGAGTGGCACGAAGAAGGCATAAAAGCATGGCACCAGACTTTGTGCTCCAAGAAGCCACAGTTTGCTCCGAGCTCGATGCGGCCGAGGAGGTTGGGAGAGTGTCATCCTCGACCGGTGTTAGCTGAGCCATCAGAGCATTGTTTCATTGTCAGGTCGGTGACTGGGCGCCCGGCCCCCGCTGAATACCTTCGGAGTTCGCTGTCTCCAGGCGGTGCCATGGAGACTCCCACACCCTGCCTTCGATGATTGCGCAAAGCATCAAAATCTGCTGGCAAACCGAGAAGCACATGAACTCAGACAAGATGTGCACGAGCTGCGGATGCATCGGTCCAGGAACGGAGGCCTGGCAGCCGAAACAGGCCGAACCACCTAGACCTTTACACACATCGCTTGCTGCTTTCAGGCGCCTGGGAGGCTCCAGCGATCGTTGCCATGTGAGCCTGACAAGCTTCATCGGTGCGTCGACGCGGATGTCCGAAGGCTTGGGCTTCCTGGTGTCTGCTGTAGCGGTCTTCCGGTGGGACTTTGAACCTGCGAGGGGATTCCAGCTGCGCTTCTTGTTTCCGACGCATTCGGGGTTCGGGTTGATCCGAACTCGGACCAACCAACTCCATGATGAGCCAACTCATGCCAACTCCATGCCTCGTGTTACAGCGTTCGTAGGAATGGCATGCCGCTGAGAAGAAATGCAGTGCTTGGGCCATCAATAGGTCAACAATCGCACTTTTCACCCAAACCGCTAGTCATTCTTGCAAAGCTTTCCATTCGAACAAGAAGCTCCAGAACCTCAATGCTCTCGACTTCACGTCGTCGCCCCTAGCGGGAAGCTCTGGCATGGGTCCCATAGCAGAAGGGTCTGAACTTAGCATCCCCGCTTATAGTCCCTGTACTGTTTACCCCGAAACCCTATGCTCCGTAGTAACTATTCAGGACTCTACATAAGACTAAAGAACAAGAAACTGCCTTGGGTCGCTCGCTGTGGAGCTGCTCGATCTGCCGAAGGCAGGCCTGATTCACAGGATTGGGGTATAAATTGTACAGTGGAGATGTTTTCTAAGGTTGAGGGTGTAGGGCTATAGGTTTTGAGCTTCGGGTGCAGGGTTTAGGATGTTTTGCCTCTGGCATTGCCATGACCCGACCCGCATAGAAAGTATGCTATGCAAGCCCTGATAATTCCTCGATCTCGTGCAACCGTTGGGTACAAGTTTGGCAAGAGAAAGCGCCAGGAAGATCCGACAAATGCATGACTGAAGCGGACAAGCCTGTCAGCACCAAACCTAATCAGAACCCTCTTGTGCCATCAAAAGGTCCAGAGGGAGGATGCGCCTGGACCTGCCACTGGCTCTGCTGCAATGCCTGGTCACAACCCTCATGTGCCCATCCAATGACTTTTCTACACCGGGAGGTTGCGCCTTGGCATGCCACTGGAGCTGCTGCAGCGCCTGGTCAGAACCCTCATGTGCCCATCCCATGACTTTGTACACCAGGAGGATGCGCCTGGACATGCCACTGGAGCTGGACCGTCACCCTCATGGGCTCAATTGTCTGGTAAGTTGAGATCCAGAAGCTGCCGAATGACTCGACGAGCTCTTTCGCATCCAGTGGCGTATGGGATCTTGGAATCTACGGGGCAGGAACTTTGTGAGGAGCGCCCGTGAAAACTCTGCATCATATACTGGCCTCGCAGCCTGCTGGCCGTAATGCAGAATGCATACCGTGGTAAGCGGCAGCATGATATCGGCTTTGATCGGCTTTGCTTGAGCATGTTTCTGAATCAAAACCTGTCCTTAAATCTCACAGATGCCCTCATGTTGTACCCTCTCTTATAAAACACAAATCAGCTTCATAACTATGAAGCTTTGGCTCCGAGCAAACTCGAGCGCTAACTTCCGGCTTCACTCTGCAGTGTCCGACCCATGCTAATGCCTCCGGCTTTCCGGGCCGTAAGCCCCCTTAACGGTTTGTCCTGCAGACTCTGTTGGGCCTCGTCACGCTGCCGGAGAGCCGACTCCAGCTGCCCGGCCTGCAGGTTGCCGTCAGGCTATTGGAAAGTCGCTTTCGGGCTTTGTGACGGAAGTCCAGCAGGGAGTGTCATGCTTCGTGGCAGCAGGCAGCCTGCATTTCCCAACACACTGACTGGAAAACATTTCAGCCCGAAGATCTCTGACGACGACTCCTCTTAGACCGGTCATACCAATGTCAAATCTCCTTGCCAGTACAAGAAAGACATGAGACGGGGCCAGCTTGGGGCTAAGGATTCATACATAACCATGTAGCCGATGTAGCCCCAGAGCACTTCCACGTGCCTGATGTGCATTCGTCGCCTGGCTCGCAGCCAATTCGCCCTGACAGGGTACCAGCGCGTGGCTCGAGGGTTGACATCGGACCAGGCACTGTACATCCCAACCTCGCCTCACTCTCGCAAACCTACCATACACGCAACAGGTCACAGCTAGTGCGGGAAGTGCTGTCGACCTCACTTCTTAGGGGTGAACGGCTTCATCAGGCTCCGTCTGAGTGAGACAGCAACATTTAAAAATATCTGGATGCTTCAGACGGTCCAGCGAACACATTCGCACCCCTCGTCTTATTCTCTTTGAAAGATTTTCCAAGCACTCAGGGCTGCGTCATTCGGTGTGTACAAAGGGCAGGGATCAGTTCTATCACCCCGCCTCGGTGGCACCTGCTTTTCAGCAGCAGGTCCACCGCTCGCCAAAATCTATACAAATTTCTGGGATCACCCTCGTCCTAGGCAGGCTTGGCACGGGGAAAACCTCTGCACATTCGAAGAATTTCTGATATTGCCGCACCCAGGACGATGGTATCTTTCTCCGCTAGACACCGCCACGCAAATCTCGGGCGGGTGTCGTTCCCTCGAGAGTGTCTCAACTCTCGCAAGCAAGTCCCTATTTTCCCTCCGCAAGTCACCGAGCGCCCTCTCCATTTCACGGATTTCACGGCACCTTTCGCTCAGTAACTGCTGGAGGTCTGTACAGCGATTCACATACTCCTCAGCAAACTTCTCGTGTCGCCGAATCTCGTCGGCGTGCTTCTGGGCTCTGTCCTTCTCCACCTTGAAAGGGACTGGTTTGGGAAGCGGTGGTGGGTCTGTCTGCACACAGCTGTTGGCCACCACCTTCTCTGGCACCTTGGTCTCGCGAAACGCCCTGCCAAAGCACCACTTAAGGAACTCCAGCACGGCAAAGGGTACACCCAGAAAAATCACCAAAGTCACCAGGCCAATCCCTGCTGCGGCCATCAAGTTGTACATCAGGTCGCTGTCCCAAAACAGCGCCAAAGGCGCAGCCAAGCTCAAGCCCTGACTCCCTTGGATCTGGGCCATCAACAGCAGGATCGGCATGAGGTTCCCAATCCTTGCCACTGAGTCGACATTGGCACTGCTTTTGCAATCCTTGAGCATCTTTGCCACGGCCCTGCGCTCAACTGCTCGCTGCTTGTCTTCTTTCCCGTAGGGCTCACCATCGGGGAGCACGGCGCCCATAGAGAACAACAGTTCCCTCACCCTCGGTCCGCCGAGGGGCTTCGTTCCCAGGTCACTGGGATTCTCCGTGCCGGGGATGCTGGAAACGGCCAGAACGCCTTCTTTCACCGCCTGCTGCACCCAAAGCAACCCACACTGGAGATGCCGGATGCGTCCGCATCCCAGCCGCTGGCTTATGCCTTTGCAGGCCGCGCTGTCTGTTCTTGCCCGGGTCTCAACGGTCACCTCGTTGCCAGCAAGGAAGCGGATGCAGTCAGCGAGGTAGATCGCCTCCGCCGAGCCGCCCACCAATGCAACGAACTCGCTCTCTCCCGAGCTTAAGGCTATGCTGCGCTGGGTCCTGACAAAGCTGGCCACCAAGCTGCCCCCGACGTAGAGCTGGGCGGCTGTCCTGCTCTTTCTCGTTCTCCGGCAGCCTGCCCAGTCGGCGTCCGTGATCGACTCCACCACGATGGTGGAACCCTCTGCCTCAAGAGGGCCATGGCCTTCAAAGTCGAAGGTCCTCCCATTGGCCACCGCCTTGATCACAAAGCCGATCTCCGGGGTTTGGGCCAAATAGCCCACAACTCTCTTCAACCACTTTTGTCCGGCCTTGCTAGGGGACGACATCTTGGAGCTAGGATGCACACCGGGAATTGGATGTCAGGCCTGGTGTGGGAGAGGTAGAGAAGACGTCCCACTGCCTCCCGGTACTCCCTGGCTTCCTTTGGGCCCAAATCTCCGCTGTTGTCAACATCTAGGAAGGAAGCGTCAGAGGGAGCATCGCGGCCTTTGAGCTCCTTGCCCAGGCTCTTAAGCAAGGCTTCCAGATAGCGGCCGTTGGAGTAGACCGCAATCCCGGCTTCCATCATGATGTACTTCCTCTTGAGGAAGCTCAACTCGTCCCCCACTGCCACCATTGGCTCTGAGAACTCCACTTGCACCTTCTCGGTCAGGATCTTCTTGAGTTCCTCGCGCTCCTCCCGAGTTGAAGCCATCAGCCCATCGTCGGCGTGGAGAATGAGCCCCGCCTTGGTACTGGGACCCTCCTTCTTGAAGAGGGTGGGCTCTTTGGGAAAGTTTGTGTAGCTTCCCTTGTGCAAAAGATTCTTCGCGAAATTGTACCACGCGCTGGCTCCGATCCTTTGGCCAGGCAACAACTTCTCCAGGACCAGCGTCACCATGCCCACTGCGCCGTTGCCGAACATGGCGGCGTTCACCTCAATCGTCATTGGCACCGGCTGGTCCACCTGGAGGTACGCATCTTTAAAGTCAAAGGTGCAGAGCTCTTGGTCACGGCTAAGGGCCACCGCCATGAAGCCGTGGATCGCCGACAAAGTGCTGGCTGGGGCGAAGAGCTCCTGGGAGTATGGGGAAAGGGTCTTGAACTCCCTTCCCACCAAGCGGCTGCGCCGCTTCCACGTAGGCCGCCGGCGCCAATCGCGCACGACCTTGGTTGTTAGGCTTTGGTACTCCTCGACTCGCTCGCCTTCCTTGGGCCATCTCATGACCCCCATGTCCATCAGCCGCTTGATCTCTATGGCGTCTGCTTCGGCATCGGCAAAGGTCGACCTCGTTGAGCTCCGGTGGGTGGTCGCCATCTTCGGTCCAAACGCTCTCAAAGTATTCACCTGCAAGCTCACTTTCCTCCTCCATGGTCTCCAGCACATCCGGGGACCAGTTGTCGAAGTCGGCTAGCTCCTCATTGGAGATGTCCCCCGTAACCGCACGTATCCCAGCAAACCCTGGGGGGTAAAGGCCACTCTGCGGAGAGCTAGCTGCGGGGCTGGAGCCAAGTTCACCAGGTCGCGGTCGATCAAGTAGAAGACGCGGCCTCTTGGGGTTCACTTCTCCCTCCGGCTCTGGCCTCGAACCTTGGTGCCCATCCGACCTGCTGGTAGTGTCCATTGCAACTGGCACATGTGGACCTGAGCGGCTGAAGCTAAAAACATCATTGCCAGACGGTTGTGGTAGATCACGTCGCTCTTGCTGTGGCTGCTGGCTGCCACTTCTAACTTCAACACCGGCCGGCTCTGTGCCGCCTTCTGGTGGGCCTGACGGTTGTGGTAGATCACGTTGCTCTTGCTGCCGTTGGCTGCTGGATGCTGCCCTTGGGGAACCCGAAGAGGAAGAGGTAGAGGTAGAACTCGGGTCGGAGGCTGCCTCATCGAGGTTAGGCTTTGGAGTTCCTGCCGCGATTGACTCAGCAGCTGCTCGGCCGGCCGCCTTGGCCAGCTCTTGCAAAGAAGCGTTGTCGGCCAAGAGTGGAACACTAGCTCTTGCACCAGTGTAAAGGGGTCTCCTCCTCCGAGTCTTTCCCATATAGCTCCACGGGAAACCTTGCACTCCAAGGACGGCGCTGAGACTCCACTTCTGGTCTTCCGGCAGGCGGCGAATGCTCCTGCTTTCGTAGGTCCCGTCAGCTGTGCCCAGGATGTGGGCGTTGTTCCTTTCGTTAACTCCAAGCCAAACTCCCCTGCACCACTGTAGGTCACCCTTGTGGCGCGAGGGTTTGTGGAAGATCACCTGCTCACAGAAGGGAACCAAAGCACCTCGATACTTCCGCCCGTGCAGGATTTCATACGGCGTGGAGCCGCGGGACCCAACAGCAAAGCGGTTGTGAAGGAAGGCCGCGTGACGCAGGAACCATGAGTACACGTGGCAATGTCCTTCGATACGTCCCTGCACCCGGTCCTCAACAAAGGCCTTCAGAGTCAAAGCATTGCGCCTGATAGTGTCCAGGCCCTTCTCAACCTGGCCGTTCGACCCATGGCTCGCCTTCACGATCCATCTTGTGTCCGTCTTCAACCCAAGCTTTGCACGGCAGGCGCACACCGCGTTCACCACTTGCTTGGCCGAGGGCTCCGTGTCGCTCTGGAAGACCACGGTGCCACCGGGGGAGACCTGCATGCTGAGCCTCACGAGGTGCTCGGTGACGCGCTTCAAGGAGTTCGCCCCCTTCTCGAGCACCGGAACGGCTGTCACCCAGCCTGTGGTAGACTCGGCTCCCATAAGGCACAGGCCATACTGGTCACGAACATCAACAGCTCCTTCCCCCTGGCCCTCGCCTTGCTCTCCCTCTTGTACCTGTTGGCTGTCTGGCTGGCCTTGGTCATCACCTGGTCGGTTCTCATCATCAGCCAGCTCTCCCCTTAGCTTGGTGAAGGTGTAGCCATAGTCGATCTGGATCACAGGGTCGCTCTGCTTGTTGTCGGGCAGCTCGTCGCCTTTGGGCTCCTCATCCTGGCTTCGGTGGGGGTTTTGCCGACTCCTTCCAAGCAGGCACGCCTCACACCAAGGTTGGAAAGGGTGGTGCGTGACGTTGTGCAGCTCCTGCTGTCGGCTTGAAGGTAGGACGGGAGTCTTGAGAAGTCCTGGCTCCCGTTCCTGCTCGGCGAACATCTTTCTTGCCACCTCCGATGCCATTTGCTTCTCCAGCGTCTCATAGTGAAGCCGAAGTCTCCGAAGCACTTTGTGTTTTCCCCCGCTGACTGAGAGGCCCAATTTCCGGCACAGCTCTTTCAGGTCCTTAAGGGGAGTTGCCACCGAGAGTGTCACACCTTCAAGTTCCTCCTCCTTGCCGTCTTCACCCTCGGGCTCCTTGGGTCTTTCTTCCGCCGCTATCTCTTCAGCCAGGTCCCCGACTCCGCCGGGTCCGTCCACCATGGGCACAGGGGGGCTTGCCTCGTCATTCTCAGGCTCGGCGAAGATGTCCCGCGGGTTGGACAGCAAGTCCTTGGGAAGCTCCTCCACGTGCAGCACCATAGCTATATCTCGCCGGCCCTCAAGGTCAGGATCAAGTTCCCGAAGAAGCTTGGGCGTGTTCTCGAAGTCCTCAACCTTGGCCGTCACCACCTGCATCCAAACGTCACCTGCTGCAGGGGGCTTCTTGGCCGGCTCGACTCGCACAAAGAGGGCCACCCAGGACCAGTCACCTTCGCTCCAAAGGCTCTGCTCCACATTGACCTCCTCCACATTGTGAGCCACGAAGAAAGGCAAGCCGCTGGGGAGGATACTCCAGCCCGGCCTGCCTGCCAAGGCCTCCGCTTCAGGAGGCAGTCGCCCTAGGTCATCGAAGGTCATCATGTTCACCTGCTGGGGCTTTGGCACAGGGGCAGCATCGGTGCAGCCAGCCGCGGCAATAGAAGCCACCGTGGCCAGCACCGTCAGAGTATTTCTGCGCAAGCGTATTGGGACTTTGTGGCCGCCCCTCTCGATCACAGGCTTTCCTCCACTGGTTCCAAGAGCCCAGCCCCAACGCAACAAGCGGCCCATAGACACAATGATGGAGGAGACCGGGGCAATGCAGAACTTCTCCTTCAACAAAATCGGGGTGCCCTCGGTGGTCTCGACCTCAATGTCGAGGATCCGGCTCTCCTTCTCGGGGATCCTTTTCCCCTGGGCGTCTTGCATAAGGATCCCAGACCGCTTTGCCGGCTTGCCAAGGTTTGCCATCCTGAGCGGTGCCACCGATATGTCGGCGCCGCTGTCTATCACGACCTCGGTCCTGGCCTGCAACGCCAGCACTCCCGCAACCTGAGCATCCTCCAGCCCAGGCTCCAGAGTCCACTCCCCATCGCCGTCCGTCACATCCATGGGGAAGGCCGTGACGCCCTCGAACTCAGCAAGCGGCTCGGCCTCCGGTTGCAAGTCCCCGAAGAAACCCGCAACAGCCTGGGGGCACTCAATCACCATCACCTCGGCACCGGCCAGCCCGAAGTCCCAAGCGCCCTCGTCATCGTCGAGCTCCGTCATGTCGAAGACCTCCGTGCACCTGCAGCTCCTCGGGGTTTCGCAGCTGAAGGTCTCGACGCGGTACACTCCGTGCCCCGCCTGGGCCTTTAGGGCTGACGCCGAGGAAGGGACAGAGGAAGCAGCCGTAGACGCACTGGAAGACAGGGTCGTAGAGGTCCCCTGCTGTGGCTGCTCCACCTGGTTCACCTTTCCCTTCCCTTTCTGCGGGCACTCGTTCTTCCAATGCCCCCTTTTCCAACAAAGGGCACAGACCGCTGGATCCAGGCCCTTCTTGCTCTTCCCCTTTCCTCCGCCTGGCTGCCAGCTTTGGCTGTTCCAGGTCTGGTTGTTCCATCCTCCGCCGCTGTCCTGGCCGGGCTGCCAGCCACTCCATTGCTTGCCGCCTTGCTGCCAGCCCTTTCCATCACCGGGCTTGCCTTTCTTGCCCTTTCCGTCCTTGCCCTTGCTTTCTTTGCCCTTTCCATTCTTGCCCTTGCCGTCCTTGCCCTTGTTGCCGTACTTGCCGCCCTTGCCCTTGATCACGTCGATCTCCATTGGCTGAGGCCCTCCTTGCTGGTTGCTTTCGTAGCCCTTTCCAGCCAAGGAAGTGGACCAAGGGGCATTGAGGCTCTCGTACCTCAAGATCCACTCCCGCACATCGCTGTACTTCGTGGTGGTCTGCATCTGGAGCTGCACCTGGCTCCTCAAGGGCTCACGGAGCCCCGTCACCACGGTCGCCAGCACCAACTCCTCCGGGAAAGCCTTGCCGCTGCTACTCTCGTAGGTGCGCAGCGCCTCCTCGTACCGAATCAGCTGGGAGTGGATATCTTGGCGATCGTCAAAACGCCATGCGGCAAGCTGCCGCACCAGTGCCAGGGATCTGGCTTTCTCTTTCGGTTCCATCTCTTTTCTAAGAAGCCGCCAGGCTTCCAGCCCATTCTTGTTCTTTGCCATCTGCCGCACCAGCAAAAGGGGCCGCCCTTTGAGCACACTGCAAAGGACTCCAAACAAGCGCTGCGACCTGGCTTCTTGGGCATCCGGAATAACGGCGTGGTCGACCTCCTTGTCGTCTTGCAGCCCATCCAGGTCCGCCTCGTACTCCGGGTCGTTGGCAACAAGCCAGTTCGTGAACTGGAAGGACCACTCCTTCCAGCTCTTCAGCTCCTCTTCCCGGCCGGCTGGCTTCCACTGCTCCACCTTCAGGCTTTTCGTAAGCCCATCCATCTTGCTGCTCGAAGCGCTCGCCTCAGCAGCCTGGGCCGCGCGCTCGGAAGTGTCAATCAGCTTCCGAAAGACTCCATGGAACGCCTGCTCCAGGCGCTGCTTGACCAGACGGTCCACATCGTCCGGCCCCATCTGCATAACTGCTTGCGGCTGCGGCTGCTGAGGTTGGGCTTGTGGGGCAGAAGGCCCCGGGCCATTGCCTTGTCCATCCATTGCGCCTTTCCGACCGGCTGCCAGTTGAAACTTGCTTCCGGCCTCGCTCCCTGCTGGCGCCCGGGGCACCTTGCAGCCTTTCCTCCAGACTGCTCCAAAGGCAAACTCGTTCCAGCCCAGGGCACAACCACGCCCTTTCCGCACGCACTGATTTATAAAACCGCTGCTCCAACCAAGCCCTCCAAAGGGCAATTCCGGTGCCGCCCCTCGCTGGGGACTTACGCAAAGAAGACTCTGCAGGCAGAGCAAACTGCAGCTGCAGGCCAGAAAAAGGAAAACTATGGCGCGAGAGGCCCTAATCTTTACAAGGGCTCTGGGTCCCGGCCCTGGAGCTGACCCCTTATCCAGACACAAAGGAATGGAGTTTGGGTTCGCAGCTCCGCTACCATGAAAGATTTTCCAAGCACTCAGGGCTGCGTCATTCGGTGTGTACAAAGGGCAGGGATCAGTTCTATCACTCTTTGAGCGAGGTTGAGGCATCGGCATCGTGAGCAAGCGGTGACTCACAGCAGGCAATGAATGGCCTACATCCCAAAGCTTCTTGAGGACTAGATTGCTATACCATTAATTTCAAGCAATGCTTAAGGCTTTTTTACATCGATGTAACAGATGACTCTTACACTGCAGGCAGGACTGGCCTGCCAGCGCTGGATCAGCGCGTTGGCTGTCGCGACAGCCTTCGGGGCAATGTCGGGCTTCGAAGTGCTTTCGGACAGTGTCAAGACGGGCAGCGACTGTTGTCAAGATGGCTACTGTGGTAATTGTAGAAGCTACATGCAGATCAACTGGCCAATTCACCCCAAAGCTCATGCAGCTCTGCCTTCGGGGACTTTGGCAAACTGCGTGAAGCTCGGGGACTGGTTCGGTAGACTTACGAAACACTTTCCACTTCGGTGAAGCTTGCGGCGTGTTGGCATCTCTCTTGCTCTTTATGAAATCTCCCTCCCACATCGAATTCCTTGATTCTACAATCCGAGAACCTGTCTGCTTGGATCTCCACTCCTCGACTGCACGAAATGCTGCACTGACGTCTGGGGCTGGGGTCTTCGGTCTATGGGCCGGAGATCTGTCAGGAGCGCTATAAACTTTGCATCCTAAACCGGCCCCGCAGCCTGCCTACAGTACATTGACCCGAGCAGCACCCGTCTGAGCATACCCCGGGCCTCTTCCAGACGTAAGACACGTGCTTCCTGGCCACGGGTTGAATCGGAGCTGTTTTGGGTCAAGGGCTCCTTGTGCGTCCCTTCTTCGAGGGTGTGAGAGGGTCTTGGAGCGAAATCCTGTCAGGAAGCTGCCTGCTTTGAAGACCGCATGTGAAGTGCAGCAGCGTCACTCCATGTTTCAAAAGCTCATGGACCTCCCATATGCTTAGTGTCTACCGGGTTTGGCGTTTGGAGCCCAAAGTCTCGGTTTCCAAGGCACAATCTCCAGAATCCTGAAAGCCTTAACCCCACAGCACAGATCAAACACAAAGGCGAAACATGGACCTGAGGAGTGTCGAAACCACAACCTTGGCCCAATCTGCGTTCAATCCAAGCTTCACTCTCCGACGAAAGCGCGCTTGCATCTGCGGCTGGATCATTCTCCTGCAGATGTGTGGGGTTCGAGAGTGCTTCAAAGGACTTCGGACGGGGGTCTGAAAATGCGGCAGTGAAAGGCTTGGTTGTGCATCGTATGGGCATCACGGACATGTAAGTAGGACGGGGCATGGCATTGGCATTGAAGTTTGGGAGACCTTGGTTTCGACAGCTCTGACCATCCTGTCGGCATCCTTCGGGATGGCGATTTTCAAGCAGCGTCCACAAAGCCCTGCAAATCGGTGCCAAAAGCACTTAATGCTCGTCTTTGCTACAGAAAGCATTGGGTTTGTGACTGAGGTGCGGTTCCTCAGGCGGGTGAGGCTAGTCTTGGGGTTCGGTTTTGTTGCCTCGCCGTGACTGTAGTGGGGCCGGTCTCTGAGGCCTGTTCTCGGCAACCTCATGGGCGTTGTGACCACACGTCTTATCACTACGCTACATACACAGCATGCAATCTTCACTGACATCGCATGCCGTCCGGGCAGCGCAGTGCTGGATGCGATGTCACGCGGCTCCTGGTCGGTGATGTTCTCGTTCTCGGCGCCGTTGGATTCAATGCGTCCGTCCTTAGGCAGATCAGCGCAACGGGGGAAAACAGTGAAATTAGCAGTAAGGAGCGTGGTCTTGCAAGCCCAGCAGGGCCACAAGGCTGTTTGCTTAGTGTTACCAAGGTGCGCAGCTTTTGAATGAGGGCGACTCGGATTCCTCGGGGAAGTCAATGAAGGTGTTTTTCACCCCAAGGCGAAGTTGGTCCTCTTCCAAAGTTCCTGGGCGGCAATGGGCTCGGCTCGACGTGATTGTGCTGAGTCCCCCAAAAAACGGTGCCGACACCAAAGCGCAGCTGCAAACTTGGCAACTGCGTAGCGGTTGTAGCGTCTGTAGAAGAGCCGAGGAGCGGTTGACGTTTGCCTCAGATCAAGGGTGACGTGGACAAGGCATAAGGCACATGTCGTGTTGCTGCTGCTCCACGCTCACCCCGGCCGAGGAGGTTGGGAGAGTATCATCTTCGGCCCGGTGCCAGCCGAGCCGCCAGAGCACTGATTCATTGTCATATCGGTGACTGGGCACCCGGCCCGGAGATCTGGGAGTCTTCGCCGCGTTTGGCCCGCCATCCTTCGATGATTGTCAAAGGCGTCAACATCTGATGACGAACCAAGAGAGCTCGCCAATTCAGACAATGTCGCAAGAGGAACCATGGGGGCCCCCCAGAATGCACTTGGTTAATGATGCAGCACAAACTTACTAATGGCAGCACCACGAGACTCCCTCTGATTGAGCATCCAAAATGAGTTTCGCGTTTCGACAAGCATTGTCCGTCTATCTCTTGACCTCTGGTTGCTATGCTGGTTGTTGCGGGATGGAAGGCTGTTCATATCAGTCAATGCCAATGGGTGTCCGGTTGACAACTGCAGTCCGCACGTCCAAGGCTTCCTGCGACTGCAAAGCAACACTCCTGAATGCCTTCAACCTGCCTACTTTTGCCTGGCTCGTTGCAGGCTTGCTGGAAGGATGGTGCATTCGATGCAGAATGACAACAACTCATACCAAACCATAACCGCTACATTGCCATGTTGACCAGTGCATTCGATGGCTATGCGCCCAAACAAGCATCTCACCAAAAGTTGGAAGGGCAAGTAACCAGCGGTATGCCGCGGCAAGGATGCAGGACCTTGTGACTATCAAGTCTGTACAAAGGGTCGTTTGCTGTGTTTGCTGTAATAACATGCGCAGCAACTGATGCTTAAACTCGTTCGTACAGCTAAAGATACCGTGGAGTTGAAGGTAAAGTAAGTGGTGCTCAACTAAGCTATAAAGCCGAGAAGCGTGGAATCTGCGGATCGAGGCTCAAGATCCTCGCTCCAATGCACTGCCGCCGAGAGCGGTGCCGGGGTTTCCGTCGCGTGGAGCCGAAATGGCTGGCAATTTCAGCGATGTCAGAAACATATCTGCAGACTGTACTTGCAGCCCGTCGGAAGTGTCGTGAAGAGCGATTGGACTGGCTGCGTCTCATCACGCAGCCCTTCTCGAAATGGGCTGGACGAAACGGGCTCAGACACACCGGCCCACCTTCGAAAAGGCTACAGACCGCGAAAAAGAAGTTCGGCACTCGAAGAAAAAGAATGCGCTGCTATTCAAGACATTGCCCGCTACGAAGAATCTGGCAAGCGATGCCGAGCAATTCTCCTGTTTAGGTGCATCCTGCAATCTCTGCTGTATGTCACCCTCACCGGCGCGAGTTGCACTGCTGAAGGACTCTAAGAGCGGCGATCCCTGTTCTGGCTCTCCACCTTTGGAAGAAGTCTCAGCTTGCAAAGCTCTGAAGGCGATTTTGTCAGCTGCTCAAACAAGGACTTGATCAAGCTCCGGTGGCTGTGCCAGAGAGTCAAAAGCTGGGCTCTAGGCAGCTCGGCCCGGAGGACCCACACACGGTCACTGAGATCGTGTTTGTCGGCTGCAATGACTGGTCCAAGTACGAGCCGGGGCAAAGACCCCATTTCCAGAAGGGCACAGGGATTTGGGGCCCTGGCTCGCAATTTCTGCCCGGAGTTGCACCCCCGGCTGCAAGAATTGTGCGCCAGCACCACAATAACCTCCAGCAGCTTACCAACGAGGTTTTTGTGCTCAGCCGTGATCACCTCGGGCAGGAAGCTCACGAAGAGCTCATGCAGGCTCTGGTTCATCCAGAGCCTCAAACACCTTCCCCGAAAGACGCCTTTGCCAACCCGTCTTCGAGAGACAACCAGCTCCACGACTTGTAGCCTGGTCGGTCTTGGGTGCTCCGACCCTTCCGACCAAGCAGGGAGGAAAGCTCAAGGCTCGCACCGACCCAAAGAAGCCTAGGCTAGAATTCGCGCATTGCTCATGAGCACCGCGTGCCCATGCCAGCGCGCCTGGGAACGGCGCTAACAGCTAACAGCTTGGCGACTGGTTCCCGGGGCCGCGGAACCCGGCAAGCGGCTGTGTACCCGTGAGCTTGCCAGAACCTTGTGAGAGCTTGGATGTGGTTCTTGCAAGCTGTGCCAAAATGCGCTGGAGCTGAGCGTGGTGGATCTGTTGTGCACCCAGACCACACGTGGAACAACTGCTGCGGGCACCGCTCTGGTGCTCGCTCGTCCAACGATAACAATGGCCTAAGGTTACTCGGGTCGGGTGGGCTCCCTGCTTTGCCCTACCCAGAGCCTGTTCCCCGTAGGTACTTGGCTTGGGTCCCATGCCCTTGCTGCAGCTGCTAGGGCTGGGAAGGGCGGTTTTGTTCTGGCTTCCCAAGCCGTTTCCCCGTAGGTACTTTGGCTGGGTTCCCTGACCAGAGTACGCCATGAGCAGCCAGCAATGCCGCATCGGTTGCTTGCCCGGACCCGGGCTCTTTATAAGCAAGCGCCTACCGGATGATGAGGCAGTAGTCGGTCCGGCATTTGTGCACGGATACGGGGTGGGTGGCAAAATCTCCTGAAAGCGCTGGACCACCTGCGGGCTCTCCCAACCCTTGCAGAGTGCCTCTGGGGCTGGAGGGGCAAACCGCCAGAATGGGCAGTGGGACTCTATGGCCTCATGGGTGCCCCGGGATTTTGCATTGTTGGCCCTGAGCGGCCAGCCCTAGAGGGTGCCAGCCGTCCCCTGGACTTTTGATGTTTAGACGCAACAACGGAGAGATTGGCGGCACATCCGCTGACCGGCACTGTCCGAGGCTGGATCTGCTCCGAACTTGAGCGTCTTTGCCGAAGTTCTTCCCGAGCTGGCCAGGGGGCGCTAGCCAGCGATGCCATTCTGATCGACGTTTTGAACGAGCACACTTGGATTCTGCGACAGATGAGCGCGACCAGTCGCTGCCGGTCGAGAATGGCCCCATACGGGTCATGTGCTCGGGGGCGGCAGCATTCCATGTCCCGAGCCGCACGGAGAACTGGCAGATGGTTTGCTCGCAGCAATGCTATGGGCCCACGGGATAACAGACGAGACCACGGTGGAAGGTGACAAAGGACAGCTATATGTAGAAGAACCGGATAGGTTGGCATATGCCGGCCAGCACACCAGTCTGCTGCTGTCGCCGGGGTGCGTGATCAAGACGGCGCATGCCATGTTGGACTTACCCCTCCATTCGCCGGAGATCTCGATGTTGCGTAGACCAGTTCTCAGTAAGAATACTGTGAGTTTGCTGAGCAATGCAGAAAAGAGTTAAGAAGCGCTCACCTCTTTTTACTCGCGAAGGATGCTTGAAGTCGGTGCGAGGCAATGCGATGCCCAGTAAGGAGAGGAGCGGGGCAGTGCGTTGCCGAGCTCTTTCCCCCAGGGTTGTGGAGGGTGGGTGAAAAAAGCTAAAATCGGAAGCGATCCGGGTCGACAGCTTGAGCTAGCAGTGCGGAGCGAGGCGAAGCAATGCAAGCTCAAGTACTTACCGAAAACACTGTCGACCAAAACAACAAACTCACGACAAGCGTTCTCAGTAAGAATACTGTGAGTTTGCTGAGCAATGCAGAAAAGAGTTAAGAAGCGCTCACCTCTTTTTACTCGCGAAGGATGCTTGAAGTCGGTGCGAGGCAATGCGATGCCCAGTAAGGAGAGGAGCGGGGCAGTGCGTTGCCGAGCTCTTTCCCCCTCTTTAGTTCGACTTCAGCATCCTCTGCCTCGCGGGCTCAGATTCCCCCTTCGCACGAGGATGTAGAAGGAGACCTGTCGAGGCTGACAAGGAGAAGCAGTAAAAATGTGCCAGGGCACAGGGCGTGCAAGTGGCAGAGCTCTGATGCAGAGTTTTTTTCCCGTTCACGACGGTGAGCGAATCAACGCAGTAGGCTGCGCTGTGCCTCGCAGAGGCGAGGGGGGAAGGTGTTCTCCTCCCCTTGAAGTGAAACTGTGTGCGAAGCAGATGCGAGCTGCGCTAGGCTGATGCGAACGCGTTCGGCACTGCGGTGCTTGATGAATGCAAGGCGTCCGCGGCTGAGGGCGTCAGCCCACGAGTTCTTTTCGCCAGCCAAGTGCTCGACTTGGAACTGTACACGGTGCAGGTGCGCCCAGGTGGCGGCAAGGCGCAAGAAGGTGCTGAGCGGTTCTGTTGTCGTAAACAGGCGGTTGACACCACTCTCCGCAGAGGTGTTGTCGCTGGCGCTGGGCAGGACGAAGCGCGTGTGCTTGTGCCGAAGGAGGGCCCATGAGCAATGGGCGAGTGCAAGCTGTGCTAAAGCTTCAAAACACGCTATGTAGCTCTGCATGGAGCCGTGCAGTTGGGGCCACTCTGCTCGGACCTCGTCGGCAGTAAAAATCTCGCTGTACCAAACAAAGTGCGAGGAAGTGCTGAGCCAGCCGCCGATGCCCATTCGGTCAGTGTCGGCAAAAGCATCTGCGGCGCTCATGCAGGGCGCGACGGGAGGAGTGCGGAGGCTGCGTGGTTGCTCGTGTTTGAAGCAAAGCTCGAGCCAGGCGAGGCAGAATTTGCTGTCTTGTTTGAGATGAATTTCTGTGCGATTTGGGTCAGCAAGGCGGACCCACTGGTGCTTGTGAGAGGGCGGCACGCGGGGCACGTCAGACTTAGAATGAATTTTGAGGGAGCCAACCTCAAGGAGCTGTGCATTGCGAGGCAGCCAGGAGCCGAGAGGCGTGGAGGAAAGCTTGGCGGTGTTATCCAGGCACTCGTAGAAGGGCGCCCAAGCCTGAGGGGCGATGCTGTGGAGGGTTCCCGCACTGCTATGCAAGTCTTTATACAGGCATGACATGAAGGAACGCATGTGCGGGCTGAGAGTGGTAGCCCAATTGAGCAGTCCGAGGCACGCTTCCAGGTCCTTCTTTAGGATTTTGGTAGCAGTGCGAAGCTTGTGGAGCTGTTGGCGAAGTTTCTCCAGTTTGCTCTGGACCAGGGCGACGGTTTCTGTGCGGAAACAAAAGGTCCAGCCACACCAAGTAATCTGGTCTCCGAGCTGTGCCTTTTTCCAGCTGATCGGTGCGTGGAGCGCGGCGAGCAGTGCCACTATAAGGGCGACCGGCTGGTCGAGCTTGTCACGCAGGAGCGTAGCGAGGATGTCGTCAACATAGAGCCATGCTTTGTGCGGGTATTTGCAGAGCAGTGAGTGCAGGATGCGCAGGATGAGGGATCCTGTCCGTTGCCACCAGTATGCAGAAAAGC